ACCGGCCAGTCATACTTGGGCAGAAACTCGCCATGCATTCCTGGCATTTCACTGTATGCGCTCTGTGACTAACTGTGACTCCAGAGAACACGTCGCTGGCCACCTTGCCCCTCCAAATTCGTCAGGCCGATTTGCAGGTTTTCGATGGCACCAACATCCTGCAGATATTAATATAACCACCAGCAAATATAATCAAATAATATCAAATATCAATGCACACTGCACGCTGATGCTGTAGCCAGCTCTCTCAAGATGTCTGCATCCTCGTCATTGACGCTGGTGACGAAGTCAAATAAAGCGCTACATCTTTCCTGGTGCCTCATCTCTTGCGTTGGTTCGATGATTGAAACGCATGTCATGTAGAAGCACCAAACAAGCCAAGAATGCTAACACAACTCTTGAATCCAGTTACAGTAAGTGATTCGCTTCAACATCAAGTACGCTGCCAATGATTGACAACAAGTGTATATCTTCCCCCCAAGACCTACTACATCATGTCGTGCACTCTGCTTAGTCAGGGACTCGTCTTCACTGACATCACTCTTGCGCGCTTCTGGCGCCATTAGCAACGTAAGTTGTTCCTGCAAGTGTGAATCGAGTGCAAAACTGCGCAAACTCAGCTGTTTCATGTTGCCTACAATGATGCTTAATGTTGTTTCACTGGTCACTGGGTGCCCAGTTGCATTTTGGTCGATCGGATCGCATCCTGTCCTCTGTTCGCCCTGGCGTCTTGGATGGCAAGGTCAGCAAGGTGTAGACCTTTGACACTGCACTCTGCTGCAGTATGTCGACAAGCCGAGTCAAGCCATAGCCGAGTCAAGCCATGCTAGGCTGCAAGCTGAATGTGGGTAGATTGTGACCTTGGGATGAAACACTTCGGAGGTGATCGACTGCATAATGACTACACTGTGTCGCTTTATGCTTGAAGCGAATCATCTGTAAGTGTGTATGTACACACTGCACAAAGATCTGGAAGCGACGGCCGTCAATTGCGCAGAAAAAGGGGTGTGTCTCAAAACTTTTTGTTTCGCCTGGCTCGGGGTGTCCTACAGATCCTTCGTGTCCTGTTCTGTTCAAGTTGTGTGTCCCACGACACATGGACAGACTCGCTGATTGCTTGCATCAAGCAAAAAATAAGAAATAAAAATAAACAAGTGTAGCAGCAAGCAATCAATGGTGAACCCACTGGTGAAATTGACATTCATTGCGGACAGCTACCAAGAAGTCTTGTGTGCTGCTTGTAAATGAAAGTGTCAAACATATATAAAAAAATATCCAAAAATACAGAATTGCCTGCCCAGTGTCCTCACAGAACGGTAGTAAAAATGCTGCTGTATTGGAAGATTAGAGAAATTCTTGAGATTGGACGAAAATTATAGTAACAGAATGCAACATACACACGAATTCGGAATGTGGACATTCGGTTGCTTCATGTCGTACTACAATTGTGGTGCTGCATAGAAGGATCAAGCCACTGCTTGAATGTACAGTATTGAACTGGTTTCTATCTCCGAAAGTTCCCTGCGAATTCCCAAGTCCATCACAAGTTTGCACTGGGAAAATGACTGAGATGTTCGGGAATATGTGGAAGAACAGAGCTGATTTTGACCTAAGTGTGACAAAACAAAACAGAAGTGCAGATCTTTTGCAGCCAGCATGTTCCAACAGCAACTACGACTATGCTTTTCAATGATGAGTGAGGAACTCAACTTCCCGAAGTCTTGCAAACTGGCCAAACTTGATGCTGTCCTTAGCAAGAAGGTAGAATGGTTCATTCTGGTTCATTAATGCCTCGAATATTCTGACTGTTCGGATGTTGCGGCATGTTGTGGCTCTATCAAGATCCAAACACAAACAGTTTTGTTGTCCCCATTTGAGCCAGTCTCCCAGTATCTCTTAGTTGTCTAGCAGTCTAGCCATCCAATCAAATCTTCTGGGACACACAAGGCCACAGTATCTGACTGTCTGTCATTGGTCACATGCCGTGAGAAGAAATGTCTAAGGTGTGGTCCCCTGGCCCTCCACAATCAGTCAAAGGAGATGTCACGAAGCCAACATACTGGCCATCACCTCCACCCAGATCACCCAGCAACATCAGCAACTTCCGACTTCAAACCAGTTGGTTCCAGTTGCAAACACTTTGTCCAAAGATGTCCAAAGTGTCTTGACATTGCCCGGCAGCATCAAGCAGCCGTATATCGACATGTGATACCATTTGAATGCTGTGGGATATGTATGGATATGTTACTTCCGTTGCAAAGAATGCTATTCATCATGGACGTTCATTCATTGGCTGATTCAACAATCGACTCACGGTTTCACACCAAGCCTTGGTATGGCATGTGGTCATCAACTCGAGAAAACCTGCAATTGGATTCTTTCTCCACCATCGGGGAGCGAAAGAAGTCCTATCATCCGCTGTTTTTAAAATGTGTAGCCCTCTGAACCTCGACAGTTCTGGATGCACTGCATCGATGTGATAAAAGTCCACAAAGTTCTCTGCAATCAGTTTCCAGTCTCCTGAGCAACGGCAGAAATTAGAGCGACAAGACAAGCTGTGACAAGCAGGCAGTTTGAGAATTCTTGTGATTTCGGCAAGATATACAGTAGATATCTGTGACTTGTGTGTTGTGTATCTCAACTTGAGTCCCAATGATTGGCGAACAGTGAACAAGAGCTAAGCGAAGGAAGGTGGGGTGAGAGAGGATATTCAAATCCATGGCAGCTAGTAATGCAATGAGCTGGAGAACCCCATTTAACCAAGAATACCAATATATCACCTTGCTGTTGGGGGGGTGGGGTTGGAGCCACCCATGTAGTAGTGGCCCCGGTATTTTTCTCTACAAAATGCCGGACCTGAGTCTACAAAATGGGTTGCCTGGAAACTCTCTCTACTAAATCCGGGCCCTGGATAGGCTTCATCACTACAAAATGAGTCCGAAAAGAGGTTAAAACATGTTAAAACAAGGTTTTGATTCTGTTTTTTTTGATCAAGAATGTGTTCAAAGGCTGCCTTTAAATGTTTTTAGCCATTATCTAGGACCCAATTTGTAGACAAAAAATTGGCTCTGATGGGCCCTGAGCAGTTTAAAAAATCCAAAACCGATATGCGTGATCAATTTCAAGATACCCATTTTGTAGTAAACCCAACGTGCACCAAGAACCCAGATTGAAGGGAATAAACACAGAAGGGTTCGCTGCATTTTTTTCCGTCTCAAGACTTAAAACAATGAGGAAACAAATTAGCAAGTGATCATGAATGTTGTTCTCTGTGTGTGTGTGCCTGTTGTTCTCTCTCTGTGTGTGTGTGCCTGTGTTTTTTGGAAGGAACCACAAGATGGGTGTCAAGAACCCAAACAGCTTTGAACAGTCTAAAGTCTTAAGTTGCATGTTTGAGAAAAAGAAGGAAAAAGAGAACCACAACGCCAACCCATCTTGTAGGTGCTTGGAAGGAAACCTGTCATTTTGTAGGGGCATGATATGGCATGATGGGGACGTGTGAATTGACACACCGCACAAATACTAAGTTATTAAGTATGACTTTTGGCTCAATATTTTTTAAAGTACTTCTCTTGGGGTGTCTTCAGCTATGTGACTACTATATGCACAGGAAATAACAAAAAAAACAAACCATATTATAGCATATTATAGCTGTTCCGACGGGGACCTCTCACTTTGTAGGGGAATGATAGGGAACAGGCGGAGAAGTTATTGTAAGCATTATCGTTGTTGCTGGCCTCCTATGTCGTAGTTCTTGGTGGAGAACAGCTCCATGTCATCCTGCTGTGGTTCATGCTGATGTTCATGAGAACAAGAATCGACGCTTGATGCGAAAACAAACGGAGGCATGAAATGGGAAGCGGATGGAAGGCTTTATGCTGTCCATTCGTGGCTGATCTTTGATAAACTTGAAATGAAAGAGGCGCAATTTCGTACGGACACTCGAACAGGCGGACGGGGCGGACAGCCGAAATGCCGCTCCAGATCGTAGCGTTTCAGCTTCTCAGGCAGGTCGCCGAGGCAGTCACGAAGAGGAGGAGGGTTCGGCAACTGATTCAAAAAGACGATGCCTGTCACGTTTGAATTCAAATTGTTGGGTATACGGTATACATGTTTGAAGATGTTACTTCAATGTTTGAGCACAATGAATTAATTTTACAGAAAGTCCTGGTGCGTAGAATTCTTTGGGCAAGGTGTGAAATGGCGGAGATTTGATTTTTGATCGTCACCTGCAAAGGTCTCCAGGCCAGGCACCCGAAGTAAACCTAGATCCTCCTTTCGCTCCTCGCTCAATCGAACAAAACTGATGATGTAAAATTTTGGGATGAACTGAAATGAATCAAAATGATTCAAAATGATATAAAACAGCACATGGTGAAACGATGAAACATGTTGCAACTTGGAATCAACAAGAGTCAGTAAATAAATTGAAATCTGAAAACGAGATTAAAAAACAAGCTGCTTAAGCTCCTTTGGCATCGCTGCAGGTGGTGTTGCTTTGAGGCTTCCATCCAATCGATATGCCCACCAGTGGTATGGGCAGACCTCAACTGAAAGTGCTAGGGAGCTAGGGATTGTGCCTGCACTCAGTAACACAGGTGCTGCATGGTGCTGCTATGCCGCGATACTTGGACACTTGATGGGACACTTGATGGGACACTTGATGGTGAAGTGTGGGAATGCGAAGCAGCACAAAGTGCAATGAGGCATCAGCCAGCTGCTTGCATCCCTTGGTACTGCTTGAGCAAACCCGAGCACCTCTGTGACGGCACCTGATCAAGCGTACCATAGTTGTGCTCCTAGCTCCAAATCGAAATGCAGGCAGTCTAGTTCCAATGATCGGCAGGATGTCTTGATCTCGATAGAACATAGGTGACGACAGTGTGTGTTCTGAACTGTACTCCAAAGCTGAGAAGAACACGAGTTGTAGAAGGCGTGCAACTTGTAGTTCTTGTCCCGTGTCAAAATGATCGAAGTCTTTCCTACCTGGAATCTGTGACTGATTCCTGCATAGCCAAACTGGAGTGTCCTAAGCACTCAAATCCATCTGTTTGGAGACAAGATAGAAAAGTATAGAAAAATGCGATTGTGGAGTGGAGCCTCAACAACTTTGACGTCACCGGGTTGGGAGACTTCATGAACATGTGCTGCCGCAAACCTGAAGCCAGGGATGTGTCGAGAGATGTTGGGACTACAGTTAGGCGACCAGATGAAACGCAACAACTTCACAACGCAACCAGTGTATAAAAACATATAAAAACTGTGACTATCTGTGACTACAGTACACTCAGTACATCAAGGAAGAATCATGGACTCCATGGACAAATGGCGAGCTTTGTCAGGTTCCCCCGAGCAACCAATTCATTCCAAAGAGGCGTTCTCGCTCGATCTGTGCCTCAACATATCTTGCTGAGAATTGAATCATTGAATCACTCCATATCAGTGGTATATCAGTGGTATGTCTGTCGACCCCTACATTGATTATGTGCATTAAATTAGGTTGAGCTTGAGGTCTTGGTGTTGCGATGACTCCCTCTCAGTATGTGCGTTAAGAGTGAAGAAGTGAAGAATTCAGGTCCTCTGTTGCGTCAACAAAATTGCTTGGAATGTTTGTGTAATGGTTTTCCTTGCAAATTTACCAGCGCTAACAAGCTGGCGCTGGTAACATATATATATACACACATTATAGATCATTATAGCATTTGTCATATTTTATTGATATTGAGATTGATGGTGATGGTGATGTTGATGGTGATCATCGCCATCATCGTCATCGTCATCATCGTCATCATCAGCATCATCATCATGGAGGAGAGGGAGGAGAGGGATGAAGACGATGACGGTAAGGATGACGATATCGATGACCACGACGATGACGATGATGATTACGATTACGGATATGTGTGACCATCACAATGATTATATAATTATATTATATATATATATATATCTAACTCATTTATCTACGATTATATATTATTTTATTAGTACGAGTAGATGTTTAATGATGTTTAGATGTTAGTAGTATAAACATAAACTACCCTTTGTATCTAGCCCTAACTCTCTCTCTCTCTCTCGTCTTGAGAGCAAGGGCCTGCAAAGACAAGTGCAAACAAAAATATGTACAAGCACCGGGCACTGCTTGCTGAAATGGTCAATACTGGTCACATGAATGCACACAATTTTGACATACTCCAGGTCACCAATTATCTGAGCTGTCCGCGTAGGACTGATCCGTATAGAATGCAGGGTGCAACACCTACATAGAAACACAGCGATGTGTAGAGATATATAACTTCCTGGGCTGAGAACGGAAGCCTGGAAATATTATACCACTTCATACTTCATACGCTTCAGCCAGCTTTGGTTTTCCATGATTGTTCGTCTTTCAGCAAGTATTGCTCAAGCATTGCTCTCATGCAAGCACTTTCAAGGATGTTTTTCTTGTCAAAAAGATGCCGCTTCAGTTGATTTTAATAAATTAATGGGTCTCTTTAGATAACTCTTTCTCAATTTCCTCCATGGATCCACGATGCCTTTGCTTCTTCGATTCTTCTTTTAGTGGGGCGAGCTAGCTCCTAAGCGATTTGCGAAAAACTCAGCGTGGCAACTCTAGCTGTAGCACTGTAGCATCACGAAGCTCCTCCAATTTCTCAGAAAGTACTGGAAGCTCCATTCCTGGAGGTTACATAAATTTACATCATGTATCATAATGTTACATGCAAAAGTCAGGTGCTGCATGAAGCACATGCAAAAGTCATGGCATAGGTCGCTGAAAATGCATGTCTGCTGTCTTGCTTCATCTCCAGGTGTGATTCACAAAAGTCTGAGAGGATGCCGGACTATGCCTGTTGATATTTTCACTTCGTGGAATTCTACAGGTAGTTGATGTGTTTTGTTAGTTTATTATACCACAATTAGGTCCTGGGATAGTAGACAAAGTCCGAGGTATCCGACAGGCATGCCACAAAGCTCGCCTGCAAAAGCTGCATCTTCAAAATGAGAAAATCAAGGAAATCGAGGAATGAGCGAAGGCAAATGACGAGTAATTCGTAATGACGGCAAATGTCATAACTTTGCAGATTTGCCTGTGCACCTGCATCATCGCCTGCATCTGTGACTCTTGCAGAGTGTAGTGAAGAGCACGTAAGCTGCAAGTGGAGAAAGGATGAAAAAGGTTCCACCCCATCTGAGTCATTCTGAGTCCAGCGCTCTACGTGCGATATTCATGGCCACGCAAAGGTCCTCTGGTCGGGGTGCGTGTTTGATTTCACTAAATTGGGCAAGCTGCTCTGACTGCTTTGATTTCCTGAAGGCAACGGCTATAGGCGGAAGAAAGGCCAGGTGACTTGCTGAGAGCCAAAAAAGGACAAAACTTTGAAACCAGCCCTCTTGTCTGAAACTAAGCCCTGGAATCTATTGCTACAAACGGCTACAGACTCAATGTCTGTTTCAGTTCAGTTTGCTCAGTACAAGCACACTAGTGACCATGGCAAGCCCTAGGATGCCGGTTGCAAAAGGAATTTGTGGCCAAATCTATGTCTTATAGTCTTATGATGTCTTATGTGTGGTGATCTCTTGATGTATCTTGATGTTTGGAAGCTCATGTTTCATCATGTTTCTATCTTCGCTTAGAAGATGAAAGTATTGATGAAAGTATCAGAGTTTCTATCAGGCAGGGCAAAGATTTGCTTTTTCTTTGGGCTTGATCTCGATGATCTCGGAGTCCAATGCCGAGGTCAGATGCGATATGCAGGTGAGATTTGAAGCGGGGCTTCGTTGCTCCCAAACGACGCACTGAATCGGCAATGGTATGTACTTGAAAATTCCATAAAATGCCTTCAAGCTGTTTTTCATTGTTTTTCCACATGACTAGAATGACTAGAATCTGAGTCTGGCATGTTAGCAAAGTCTGCCAATATACTGTACATCTAGCACTGCTCAAAACATGTGTCATTTCAGGCAGAATGCCACTGAATCTTGCACAGCTCAGTGTATGTCACATCCCCAAGCTGAGCTCACTGCAAGCTGTTCCTGTTCTACAGCTCTTTTCTCTGTGTCTTTGCTTTAAGTCTTTTTCTTTGCCCCTTTAGATCTCTGTAGTAGTCTCTTGAGTGCTTAGGACTCACACTCTTCATCACACTTCTCTGTCTTGGCGCAACTAACTCAGCCAACTCTCCTACTTATAGGCGCATTCCATTAACAGCTCAGCACGCGTCTCCATTCAGAGTGGCGGCTGCCTGGTCACATGCTGGCAGCCCAAAGCTCACTGCAACATCTGTGCAAAGTGCAGGTAGGTATTCAGAGAAATGGAAACATTCAAGGACATCCAAACATCCTGAAATGTGATGAAATATTCTGGAGCATCTTGTCTAGAGATGAAGTCTAGAGATTTCAAGAGCATGGAAAGCCTCGGTGCTTTGAGCTTTTCTTCTCTCCTGCAAGGCAAATGCGAGCTTCGCAGGATTTCTCATATCGGAGAAGCAAAGCTCTCGGCTCCTTCTCTATGACACGGGCGGCGCCAATGGTCACCTTCATCTGCTGGAAGCAGTCAAAGGCGATGCCGGCTTTGCCTCAAACTGCAAACTCAGATAACTCAGTAAATGCATATAGATATTTTTTTAAGTACAGTTCGGAAACACTGAAATCCGTGCAATTGTCAAAAGTTGGCGAATATTATGGACCCGGAAAATTGCCAATCCATGCAATTCCATCATCGCAAAATCGAGCCTGGAGTCACCAAGTTTCTCCAGAGCCTGTCCTTGGATGCTGGGTCAGCTACAATCTTCGGCCAGTGTCAAGATTCCATCAAAATGCAGTCAGTGGGTAATGGCAACACTCTGACCCTGTCAAGCTGCCATGCAGGACTCCGGAGGCGTGAATTCAAATTCACCTGTATTCATTCAAGTTCTGGAAAAAATCAGGATGTGCATTGGTTCATGCCACTTTTGTTTCCTGCAAATACACTCTGCAAATGAACTGCATACCTTGCCTTGAGCGTATTGGATGACCTCCTGCTTCGACAAAAAGCCATCTTCATCCGCATCATAGAGGGCAAACATGTCCTGTCGCAACACACGAAGATTTCAGAGACAAAATAACAGCTATAACATGCTATAACCAAAATAAAACCAGCTGTGAAAATGTGAACAGTTCGTCCTTGATGCGTTGCGTCTGCTCCACGGCCATTTCGCAGCGAGCCAGCTTGTCCTTGCCTTCCCTCACCACATTGGCCTCAAGGCTCTGGGAACTCCGAGGAACGGTAACAGCTTCGTGACGTTGCCTAGCATCATGGAAATGAAATGGGATTGTTTATCATCCGGCATTACATATCATTACAAATCACGATCTATATCATAATGTTCATATTCATATACATAAAGAATCTATGTATACATATCTATATTTACATACCTATTGAAATTACAATGTGATGCTTGTAATGTAATGTGTATATATATATATAATTTTATGTGATATGTTCACACGATGTTCAACGGCTGCTGTTTGTACCAAAAGTCCCTGTTCAAATCGTTGAAATCTGGCAGCATAGGCTGACTCGGGCTCTCGCGGCATTTGTTGCAGTTTGCGTCAAATCGCCTTGGATCATTTTGCAGCTGCCAATTCACCGCCAATTTACTGCCAGTACTAATACTCTGCCAATAGTGGCAGCATGCCACCAAAAATTTCAAGGCAACTAAGCCTGCAGGATATGTTCAATTTCTATCAATGGATAGTTGCAAAATGAGAAACATGCAAAGATAAGCAAAGCTATATATATATATAGATAATAAAATGTGCATTGGCACTTGAATAACATTGAAAATCCAAGGGGCTGCCGAGTTTTTTGATCTTGGCAATGATGAGCCGCATATCCACCAGAGCAGGCCCCTTGGTGACACTTTGGAGCTCCTGATTCGGCTCAGGAGTCGCTTTGTCAATTTGATGCCCAAAAGTCGAATCTTAGTTGTTCTTTGATGTCGTTTGAACGAAACAAATTGTTACTGTATACACAAACAAAATGCTGATGCGCAGTCCTCAAGTGACTTGAGACGCTCCTCCATGAATGACTGGTATCGGTCACTCATTCCTTGTGCCTACGTCAAGCAGCTGGAAACAGTTGTTCATCTTGAGACAAACATAGGAAGACTGAAGTTGATCAGGAGACTCCTCAGGAGACTCCTCAGGAGACTCCTCAGGAGACTTAAGTATCTCATCATGAATAAATCAATATATATATATATCATAGATAATATAATATAATATAATGTAATGTAATATAATATAATCTAATCTAATCTAATATAATAAAATATAATCTAATCTATTATAATAAAATATAATGTAATATAATATAATATAACATAACATAACATAATATAATATAATATAATATAATATATACAATCAGTAATGTAATATATTATAATGTAATATATATATATATAATCTAGCATGCTTGATGTTTCAGCATCTTCAGCATCTTTGTTGCCCAAAATAAAGGAGAGTCTAACCGACTCTAGCCTACGCCCTCACCTTTACAGCACTCGAAATGAGTGCGTGCCAAAGCTTGTGTGAAGCAGCAAACAAAGGCCAAGTGGCCCCACCCAGGCCATTTGATCATTTTCTGTTCGATGCCATTTCTTTCTGCGTTGCACAAAAGCATTCGCAGCGGAATAGCAGTGAAGCAATGTGAAGCATGTCAACATCGGCCTCCAATCCGGCATTTTCCAACTGATCGTTCATCTCTTCCCGATCTTTCTCCTGCAGCATGATCCACCGGTGCGATTAACAATGAACCAGAAATGGATTCGGAACGGTTCAGACTCTGTTTGGACCTTGTCCAGGGCCAGATTCTGGCGAATGAGCTCGGCAGTGGCCTGCAAAGGTCGACCCATCTTTCAATTGCAGGAGGGACGTGCAAGGACACCGTGGACACCGCAAATTTTTAAATCCAACAACTTGCCTTGATGTGCTCTTCGCCACTCCTGCACATAAAATAGAATCGATACGCCCACCAGAACCGGTGAAAGAATGATCAGTTTCTAGTTTCAGCGGAAGAAAGCGCTCTAGATTCTAGATTCTAGATCAAACAAAGACACTGTCCAAGCATCTCAAGACTGAAGACTCTTTCTATTCATCTCTCATATCAATGATCTTGTGTTTCCCCGCATGCACCAAAATGGCTGCGCGCAAGCAATATTGGCTTTCATTTGCAAGTGGAAGGAGCAAGACTGGTGGACTGGAGACGGGGAAGATTGAGCGCTTGACAGTGCACACTTGAAAAAACACACTCCTGACCATGCTTTTCAGCTCACGAAGAGCTTCCTTTCTTTTTGTGGCTTCTTGGATAGCCTGTCATGCCATCTATGTATGGCTATGTCACTTCAAAAGATAACATGTCAGGTTTGAATAAATTCTGAATATCAAGGCTCAGATTTCAGATGTTGTTTGATTCCGTGCCACCCAAACCGCAACTCGATCAAAAAAAAGTTGACTTTAGACGAGCAAAGTGTCCGGGTTTGTCCTCATATCGCAGTCCTCACACCCCTTGCTCTGTCGTTCCGTTGCCTTGTTCATGTCTTTCTTCAAAGATTCCGCTTGGCTTTCACACTTTGGCAAATCCCGCTGGACAAGGTTCTCCAGAGTCTGCGGAAAAATACAGTTGTTGCAAACATCTTGGGAAAACAGCATGTCCCCAAAGACATTAAATCATTGCGAATCAAAGTCAATCAAAAACTAGACTTTAAATTTAAACTCGTCACTTCTGATGGCAGCCTTCTGCAGATTGTCCAATGCGTCAGACCTGAGCAAGCTTTTTGTCAGGATATTGAAGGAAGCACACTCAGTCACTCACGCTCTACAGGAGTTTCTGTGCTGCAAGATACTGCAAACATCTGCAAACCAACAGTTGATATTTTTGCTGCTCTGCCAAGTTGCTGTCCATTCTGCAGGGCTATGGTTGCATTCTTTATGGCAGCAAGTGCTTTTTCCTTTCAGGAAATGGATGCAAAATAATGGAAATAGCTCCTGTCAGAACGGCTTCTGCACCTAAAACCCGTCTCTCCAAGTGATGCCAAGCGGCCGCATCTGCCTTCCTGTGAAGCTCCTCATTTCTGAGTCGAGTTTCATCCTCCAAACGTCTTCGAGCCTGAAAGATCTGATAGCTTTGGATGTTTTGGTCAAGGCTCGCAGAGATGGGTCATAGTGAGCAGAAACGGCACTCCCATGCACTGCATCAAAGCCTTGTCCCGCTCATCTGCAAGCCTTTCCTCCTCCGTCATGGGGCCATGCCTGCAGCTCTCAACGATGTTTGTCGACCCCGTTACCCCATTCCTGTGTTGCACAAACATTCTACTGACTTGATGCCATTGATGCCATATGATGCAGCGTATGGCGCGATACTTCACGCCATTCGACTGACTTTCAGGCAAGGCGCATATATGGCGGAGGGGCCTTAAGAGATCCAGTGAAACACCGTGATACAGTTCACACCCGCTAAGCATGCAACTAAGCAATGCTGAGCTGCTAGGCATGCAGAACTCAACATGTTCATAGAATGTTCATAGTGTGTTCATTCTCGTTGATGTGACATTGTTTGAGTGCGGAGTCACCGTGGAGTCACTGTGTCAGGATGTTTCAGGTCTTGGTGGCGCTTTTGACCAAGCAGCAGGTGGTGGCGGAGCTCCGGGAGGGGCCATCGGCGGTGGAGGCGGTGGGGTGACGCCCTGCATATAGCCACAGCCTTCACAGATTTCACAGGGCCCCAGTCACCCTTTGGGGAGATCAAAATGAACAGTGGCAGAATCGACCACATTCAGAACATTTCAGAACTCTCTGCAGAACTCCACCTGCCGGCACCTGCTCGCCCATGGAGCCATATGGCCTCGAAAAATCGCTCTGAGTTTTCAACAGCTTTTCAACTTGGAGCGGCATTGAAAAACACAGTTGGTAGGTGGCCTTCCATAGGGATCAGAGTACCCGTAAGCACCAGCACCATATCCAGGATACTGACCTGCAAACATCACAGCACACAAGTACAGCTTGTACAGCTTGTACAGCTTGGCTCGTTTCGCTTTGCCGCTCAATCTCTGGCTGTCGGTGCACCTCCTGCATACTGCGCATATCCAGCCATGCCCATCTGCGATGTGCCCATGGCCGTCGGCATACCCTGCATTGCGCATCATCGATGGGAAGGTCGAGTACCAGCTCAAACATTGGCACTGCATGCCATGCCTATCTAGCTTTCTTTAACATGTGAATTCCTTGTCGTCTGATTGATACCTACCCTCGCATGCAGCTTAATCTCTTTGTGGAATTCTGTAGTGTGTAGTTTGCATGATTCACAGTCGGCTCCTTCCGAAGGGCCGTCTGCTGCACTTACACTTTAGTGACCAGCAATGATCAGCACATGTTTCGATGTCCTGTCAAGCTGTTTCTGCTATGCCCCTTGCTGCTTGCTCATTTGGATATAGTTCGTTTGGTTGGGTGAATTTGAATGGTTTGTCACATGGGTGAGAGGATGCATTGGAGGCCGGCTGTGAACGCAACCTGCATTCACCCTGTCAGGCTGTATACTCTTCAAACTTACCAACATGTTTGCGTCAAAGCAAACCAAGTAGTCAAGTAGTGTACTTGTAGTAGTGATGTACAATATGTGGGATTTCATATGTAAATATCATATTATTCTTATTATGTATATAATATATCATAATATATTATACTATTATATAATATGTATGTATATATATATATATGTACGTATATAATTATAGATATACGTATATAATCATATATATATATACACGTGTATGTATATGTATATATATATGTGTGTGTATATGATGTGTGTGTGAACACGAAAAACAAGAAGTCGACACTAACTTGTGGAGTGTAAACCCCTTGACTTGAGGCCTGAGAAAAGCGAAAGATGCCTAACCCAGAAGAAGGGTTCAAACAGGAGCACCGAACCATTTGTGGTCAAGTGACCCCAACGGGAAAACATGCAAAGTTGAAAGTGAGAGCAGCAAAATCGTTGTGGATGTATCTTCATTGACGTAAAGCACACAAATAGACTACAATTACAACAGATTCACATAAACTATATAAGTCTGTCTCAATCTCACTTTCAAGTCAACGCTAATCAAAGCGGACGTCAAGTCTCGCTCTTGCGATGACTGTTGACATGCTATGGACTTCAGAACTGAGAGAAATATGTGCCCCTGATGGAGTGGCACTGGTTGCTGACTGGTTGACTTGTGTCAACTCAGGTCTCTCTCTCTTGCAAGGCCACTTCGCTGCCTTGATCTACATCGACTTTCGCGGATTAATCAGGAGGTTCTGAGCCTACCATGAACTACAGTAATCTACCGTCAACTTGCCAACTGGCCAGGATTGAAAAATAAACTACAGTAATCGGTACGTTGCTGTATAGATGTTTGTGAAAAATGGCTCAAAAGTGGCGCATGTAGCATCGCTTTGGCCAGAAGAAAGGCAAAGGGGTCCAGCCGGTTTGAAGCGGCACATTTCGTATGGGCATCGATTCCTGTGCATGGAGGGATCACGTTAGTCAGTTTCAGCTGTCTTTTAGGAGAGGCTGCATTCTGAATCCTAATGAGATGACGGCTAAAGGCGCGAGTGAGAGATGTCTCCTTGCCCTGTCCTTGCATATGTTCTCTTCTAACTCCTATGTTAGACCTGTGTCATACCAAGCTTGCAACTCGTAACCTGTTGTTTGATCTCAAGCTTCAGTGTTGCGGATTTCACACAAGCATCGTCAATACTACCAGTACATTTGAAACATCTTGCTGCTTGATGGCTCTGCTACGTCCGATTGCAAGTGAGGGATCAAACTGTTCAAAGTTCAAAGTCTTCCTTGCTGCGGGCTGGCGGCAGGGCAGGTCAAGAGAAGGAAGGTAACATGTAATGTCAGACTGGTATCATGCGACCTTCTTTGCAAGCTGCTACAAGCAGCGACCACCCCATTCTAGTGACACAGAATGACATACGGCAACCAATAAGCATTCACCATTAATTCACCATCATTCACCTGTCAAACGACAAGCCAGCCTAACGCCTGCGCGAGAAGTCCAAGATAGTCCAAGCACTGGAATTCGCCGAGAGAGTTTCTTGCTGAGTTTCCTCTGAGTTGATCAGTTGACTTCGCTCTCAAAAGTGCTTGCTCTCTTGTGCTTGCTGATGCTGTGTCAGGCGTGCCAAGAGTATCCAGATTCCAACAGTTGCTGGCTGTTCTCCCGGCATCCTGTTCAATCCTGTTCTACAGGCATGTCCTGCATGTCCTGCATGTCAGCTGTAGATATTAATCTTGCTGCACAGCCGGCTCATCTGATTAATTCTGATTCTAGATGTATGACATGACATTGTGTGACTCTGCATCTGTAGGACCTCACCTCTTCAGCTGCAAGAGTCTTGTACTTAGAGGATCTTAGAGCGTTGTGTTGAGCGGGGGAGTGTGTGATTTTTGCAAATTGTATATGATGTATGGTTTTGTTTAGTTGCAATGCTTGTCCACAGTGATATGAACAAATACATGTCAGATAATATGATATATCAGATGTATCAGACATGTCAGAAAATTGCGAAAGATCGAAGTCGCCTTTGTGCGTTGTGTATCGCTCTGTATATCTGTCATGGACAGCATAGAGCCAAGACCTCCCCTGCTGCGCCCCCATGGCGAGGCGCCCTATGAGTTGCTTGACAGGTGCTTTATTGTGCCATGCGGAAGCTGTGGAAAAAAGAACTCATGCTGCAGGGATGCTGGCTGTCATTTTGGGAAAGATAGTGAGCGGGTTGATGAACTCACATATGTGTGGATAGACGTTGTGTCCCCTCTTCACGGATTCTTAGTGTGTTCTCCTCCAAGTGGCGTAAACGTAAACATGAATATGTCATAATTGACTGAATTATCCATGGTCCCTAATCATCATTTGTCAAACATGTCAATGCCCTAAAAGGCTGTGATGCACATGTTGACTGACCCGCAAACCTGCATCATCGCCCATTGGCTCATGGCATTCCTCAACATGCACTGTTTGCACGTGTGTGACTCGGAATTGTGACGACAAGGAATACCACAGCATGGTGTCATGGTTTCATTTTGACCAGTGAAGGTCTCCATTGGAATGCCCATGTTGCAACGTCTCTTCACGAACCATGCTGCATTAAACAGGTTGAAACTGCTCAAACCTTTGGATCAAGTCTGTGTTGCATGTTTGGAAGCCAAGGTACAAATACTGCTGCTGTTGCTGCTGCTGATCCTCATCGTCATCGCTGCCTGGGATGTTTGAACGTCAAGCCTGCTACAGAAACTGCTTCAAAGTCGTTTGATATGTGTGATTCAAGTTTGATTCATGTTTGATTCATGTTTGATTTTTTCACCTTCAAGGAAGTTATGCACAAAAGGAGGCGGCTCGCACAGCCGAAGTCTAAGTCCGAGTTGCTGGAAGATGAAGAAGAGTAAGAGCTGTCATAACTTGAAGACTTGCCCTTGTCTTTTTTGGCCTCAAGCAGAAACCGTGAGAAACGGTGCCACAAAAAAGGATAAAAAAGGCAACTTTTACATCTTTTACCAAATTTCCCCGAGTCTGCTCCAGTGCTGCCTTTGCTTTCTTCTTTGCATCAGCCTTTGCAGCTGGATCCTTGCAATCATAGATCGCGGCTTTCAACTGTTTTCACTTGATTGTCTCAATAACGTCAGGTCTTTCAGCTTGGTCCAAAGTGCGGCTCGATATCCGCTTCATGCCACTTCAACAGAGGAAAGTGTCCGTCTTTGCACTGCGTCATTCCCAAAGAAAGGCTGCATTCAGGGAAAGGACTCAAGTGCGAGTCCTTCTTGCTTTCACTTTTGCTCTTCGTCTTGTCGTTCTTCTCATCTCCTAATTACATCTGCAGCAGTTTGTTTGAACATTTCAAAGTGCTGCAGACCCAAAGCCATGGAGTCCTTTCTCTGCTTTTCCCTTACCATCCTTTGTTTTTTTGCCTTTGGCCTTGCAACAGCGAGCGACGCCAGCTGTCACGTGCATTCCACAAAGTCACCAAAGCATACCAAAGGCATATAAAGGCATGTCTGGCCAAAGAAAGCGAACCCAGCAGCCTTTTCATTCTTGCCAGGCTTTTTGTCAGCCTAGCAGGATCAAATTTATTCAATAGTTGCACGGTTTGCAGGCTGGCTCTGTAGCTTCAATCGAGCAGTCCTTGTCGGGTTTGTCTTTCGGCTTATCAGGTTTTTCAACTTTGTCAGCCTGCGATGTTGCGCGGAATTCCCTTCATAGTCCTTCACATGCCCTCTGTAAGGCAAAGCCTTATAGAACAATCACATTGAGGGAGACTGCAGTAGAACAAAGACGAGCTGCAGTACAGTACAAGCAAGTAGGACTTGTGAAATCACAAAACAAAAACAAAACAAAACAGGTGCTCTTTTGCATTCTTTTGCTATATTATCAAGAAAATGTGAAACTGTCCCAAAAAGCATCGCATGGCACCTTGTCAGCGTCAGCTGTCTCAGGCTTGTCTGGCTTGTCTGGCTTCTCTTTTGTTTCTTCTGGCTGCTTCTCAGCCTGCTTCTCATCCTTCTCGGTCTTCTCCGGTTTCTCATCTGTCTCCTTTTTATCTGGTTTCTCGGCCTCAGCAATCATGGAATTCGCTCCTGCCAGCTGAGCTTTTAAGGAACTCAATAGTCGACCACAAAGCCTGGGTTAAACGTTATGTGAAAAAAGGTATCAAATGTATCAAAGGACAAACGAACAAGGGAGCTAGCAAGATCAAGCCAGGTGAATGAAAGCACCCCACAACTCGTTGGATGCCCTTTTGCTGAAGCAGATCCAAGCAAGATCGGTGATGGCAAGTTGATACGGTTTTCACAGGCCCGCAGTGTCAAAACTGCAGCCGAGGTGCTTTCTTCGCCTTTTTCTTTCCGTCCTTCTTGCCTGGCAGAAAAAGTCATGGCAAAACAGGACCGCGCAGCAGTCGAGTGGATGTCCAAACATCGTTTCGACGCAATCAAGCTGCCTCCATCGTTTTTCCTCAGCTGCGGCCAACAACTCTCAATACTTCCTTGCGTCTCCTTCCCACCGTGTTTGGTCTCTCTTCAGCCTCTCTATCTGCATCCAAAAGACCGTACGTCTGAAGAGCTTTTCTCTCTTTGCCGCTTCCGACGTT